ATGTCCACCTAACAAGCCTGAGAGAAAGAACAAGACAAACGAAAAGGCAAGAAAAGAAAAGAAAGGTGCAAGGGGTGCGGGGGGTGGGCGGTGTGCATTGACTAAACGAGCCTGGATGTCCACCTAAAAAAGCCTGAGAGAAAGAACAAGACAAACGAAAAGGCACGAAAAGAACAGAAAGTTGCAAGGGGGCGCGGGGGTGTGGGCTGGGGGGGCCTGGCAAATTCTCGTGCATGGGGTGCGCCTTGGCCCGGAGGCACTGGCAGAAGAGCTTCAAGAAAACGGAAAAGGCCTAGAAAATGAAAAGCAACAGCAGGAAAGAAAAGTCAAAAAGACATGTGAATACTCAGCCGCATGACATGGCAGGGACATGTGAATACCTAGCCGCATGCCCCTAACATGTGGCTGTGACCATGTGACTACTTAGCCGCATGGAGATTTCCATACTGGAAGTTGGATCTCAGTAAGCCCTGCGGCATGTGGTCAGCCGTTTCGCGGAACAGTGGGTCAGGTGAGGATGCGAGGCTAAGGATCAGGTGAGGGAAGAGGGATCAGGAAGGATCACTCTCAAGGGCATGTGCACATGCTGCTCCCCTGGACCGGGATCACACCACAGACCTCGCAAGAGCTCAATCAGTTGAGGCAATCCACTCTAGTGAGTACAATACCGATCTAGAGCGCTGGAACCTGAACCTGTCAACGGCCATGTGCAGAACAGTAAGGTGAAAGAGTCAGCCTAAACAGTATTGTTTAAATCATCGCTGGTGAGGAAGCAGGTACAGGTGGATGATCAGTCCACCCTTCCCTCGATACACCATAGCTTCGTTGCGTCAGGTAGGTGTAGTATCCAGCCTGATGCCCCTGCTTGACATGGATATGTCCACCAGTGGTGAATTAGTCCTTGCATGTTCCTTAGAAACAGGTGCGGACACAAACACACACAAACACACGTCCACACTCAGGTCCAAGTCCCTTCCACTCTGGTCCCTTCGTTGGCCCATCTTCCACCCGGGAGCCACTCGAGGCGCTTTTTTTCGCATCCAAGGCACCGAAGACGATCTCTCCCTCACGCACCTGGGGCCTTGGTGGTGTAGACTCGACCGTGCGGATCTCACCAGGCGAGTTTCGTTGGGGTGTTTTGGAGAGTCCCAACCGAGAGACAGCAAGACTGATTTGCGACTCAGTCTTGACCCTGTATATATAGACTAATATGGGTGTGTATGTCTTTTGTCGGGGCACCTCGAGTAGACTGGTCCATTTGTCCGAACCGAACCCAGGGGGTCGGACTGAGTCCGGTTTTTCAGGGGGTCGGGCTTCCACACCCGGCTTCACAAGCATGGAGAAATCATGGAACAGATTCCGGGTGGGTTGTGTCAAAACATCTCCGATCAAGCAACCAGGTGCTCCAAAACATATTGGTCAAAATGTTTTTAGCCAAGATTCCAAGAAGCCCCTGTGGGCCTCTCACTTCCAAGCCCCTAGAAGTCCAAAGACTTCTAAAGGGTGACCTAGACTGTCTATATATAAATTGTTCCTTAGTGAAGCAAAGGAACATTTCGCCTTTCAAGTCCCCGAAAGACGAGTTTTCTGTGGTCTATAACTCCCATGGAACCCATGCACTATATCCCCCCACGCCACCCGCTCTTCGGCTTCCGGACCCCAGGGAAACTGCTTCGACTGGTTGCTTCGCCTCAGGGCGCGCTTCCCACGTCCGGCGAAGCAGTGCCCCGCGGGAACCGCGCCCACGTGCATTAGACCACTGCTTTGCCTGCCCAGACTATTAAAAAGATGGTCGACTCAAGTTTTGGTGGAAAATCCTGAATAGAATTAACCTATATGATGAAAATTATGAAACAATATGAAACAATGAAACAATGATTCTTTTCTAAAAACCATTTCATCAATGGTGGTGGGAATCCTAGGGTGCAGCCAGTTTCGTCCAAACCCACCCAATGCACTTCTCTTTGTACCGAGTTTAAGCCATGGTCATGGACATGGAATCCCTAGTCAAACATGGGATCAACCAAGTCCCAAAACAGTCCAGACCACCCAGTGTTCACGCAAATCTTTGACCCCGTGACCCACCTTTTGGGGCCCACGTGGGCGCCATAACCCACGTCGGAGATAGAAGGAGGATGAGAAGCATCCGACGACTCCGACGCACAAGACCCCCCATCAGCACAAGACCTTGGGAACCCGTTTGGGACGGACCGAAGAAAGGCGGGCGGACCGAAGGAAGCGACGTCCGACCCTGGGTCCTCCGAGCTTTGGGCGCCATCGTCTCGAGCCACGCCACGGCGACGGAGGGCCCGCTGGAGATCCGAAACCCTCCGAGCCACGAAGAGCAGCGCGAGCGGCCACCCGTCGGTGCTGTCGGTCTGGACCCGTCGTCGTGGCGAGAGAGGCCTCATCGGTCTGGCCACATTATGCTGAAGCGAGGCCAAGACCCCATCGACACCACCAGGTGGTCACCACCAACAAAGGTTGAAGGACCCTAGTTCGACTATCCCAGTTCGGTACCCTTAGGTTTTCCGGGTCCTAGTTCAGGTGACTTGACCTCTGTTGGCAGTTCAGCATCTTTCTTCGTGCCCAGTTTGAAGATGTGAAGAGCATGTCCATTGGGACGACCTTCCCCGTCTGGGACGAAGGACTCAAGATACCCCAACTGACCGGTCGCCCAAACATGGCTGCCATGGCGTCTGGGCTCTCTGAGCTCACCTCTATATATACAGGACACCCTGTCATAGACAGAAGTCCGTGTCATCCCCATCCAGAACATGTAGTTGTTAAACTGTGATTCTATTCATTTGGGGATCAGCAATATGCCTGAATAATTAGACCCCCGACATGGATCCCTCCAAAAGCCCTTTGTGGCAAGCTGATCAAGCTGCTTGGACTTAGTGAACAATCTTCCACCGAACATGGACCACACACAACTTTTGCTTCATGCGCGGATCGGGCCATTGCGCCAGCGGACCCGCGCGTCCGGGATGCTCGCGCGGCATTCCGCGGCAAGCAGAGGGATTGGACCATGGTAGGATTGGTCCACCATGGTGTGTCGCCGGCAGGTCCCGTGGCGCACAGGACCCGCTGGTGACGCGATACTGTGCTCATGCCTTGACCTCCCAGCCAAACACGGGGATGGATGGCTGTGGATGCCTGCAACATGCAGTGAAAGGAAGTTCCATGCTTCAGGAGTATTGGATTTGGGCCTCAACAGTAAGGATGATCCAATGTCACAAAATCGGATATGTTGAGAGGAAGGTTGTTGGCAGTTCTTCTGCACAGAGAGTGTCGTCGAGAAAAACGGTAGTCCGAGAACTGTTGCACAAGGTTGACAAAGTGGCAGCTTGATCACAAAAGAGTTCCCTGAACAAGAAGCTTCACAATATTGCTATCAAACTATACCTGAGACAACTCTTGTGCTGCTTCTCGGACATTTCACCAGATTCTGGCTCGGCGGCCTATGGTGTACCTGGCTCACAGACAGGTTAGACGAGAGTTCCGAAAAAGGAAGGTCTGATCTGCAGTTTTTGCATGGTCCCTGCCTTAGACCCCCCTGCATGTGACATGCCCCCCTGGAATAATTAAGGTACGGTATAGAGGTCATGTGTTTGCTTTAAATTCGCATGCACATTGTCCGACAGCAGATCACCAAATCCATCCGAATCCTTTCAAGACATCGCCAGACACCCACACACCCACCCCTGCCGCTCTTTTCTGCTGCTCCCAGCAGCGGTGAGGTGCTTCCCACTGTACTTCTCCCAAGTTTCCGCTAGCTGGCCATGAAAAGCTATGAACATCTGACCAAACCACCAAGGTTTCTATAGACCCAATCCACACCCCCTAGGCACCCAAGACCGGTTTTGGCCGTCTAAAATGTTGTGAAACACAGCAAAAGAGTGGTTCGTTTCGTTCAGCCCATTCATGAGGGGGGGCAGGAAGCCTCAAAACTCCCCCAGCACATCACATCCCAATCGAGTCATCGGCTCCACGACCCCCGGGTCTCGGCGAAGCCGGACCCGAAGAACGCCTCTGGATTGCGTCAACCTGAGTACATCGGAACTCGGTTGGAAGAGTTTGGATGAGTCCTTGAAGCTATACTAGTATGTCTTGGATCGCTACTAGTAACACATGAAAACGAACTCTTGTTCGGTACATTTCGGTACCCAGTTCTAGCACCTGAAAAAGATTACCCCTCACAAGGGTGCCTTTTTCAAGAGGTGAATCACATGTTGATGCGTTTTGTTCGGTCGCCTTTTGTTTGGTCATTTTGGGGTGTCCCTTTTTTTGGTGGGGTCGTCTTTTGCCGGAGGCTCACAAAAGCAACAAAATGAGGATGTTCCAATGAAACATGAAAAAAAACACTGTCTTTTTGGAGGGTTGCTTTTGTTGCATGTGTTTGGTTCTTTCTTTGTGTAACATCATCATCGTATTAAATATGTGTTATAAGTTATCAGGCATTTTGGGGTGGGACCACATTAGAAAACCGACCTCGCCAGTTCCGACATCGCCTGGCCCGCTTACATCGCGGAACGGGCGAACCTCTGCTGGGGCCCCGACAAGCTTTCCACTCGCTCCTTGACGGCATATTTCACCGCAGCGGACCTGCCGTAGAAGACGTGACATACCGCCGCTATACGGCCGGAAAAACAGAAAGAGGAGTCGGTGCCAGGTACCAGGTACCATAAACGATACCGCCATTATATATAATATATGATCCTATATATATTGGTGGTTCAGGACCGGGGCTTCTCCCATGTGATCCCCTCTTTCATCCACCAACCCACCGACCCTTGGCCGCCGCTGACCAGTCTTTTGAGCCCAGAAAACGCCGTGGATAGGTCAGGTCAACAAGTCAGACAAGAGTTACATGCTCCAGGAGTCACAAAGGGGTGCCCAATGGAAGTCTATAGGTAGTGTGGGGTACTTCATTGGACACCCCTTTGTGACTCCTGGCTGGTGAACCAGGTTTTTGGATGCGCCAGCCTTGTGTCTGGCCAGTGTGACTATAGCACGCACGTGGCACCAACGAGCGGGCCATCGATGTGTCCAGTCGTTTGACAATATGGCTTACGAGCTGTTTGGGCCACGGAGTTCTTCAACCCGAAATCCTGGTGCCAGGACCAGGACCCACGACCATGATTGAAAAAAAAAGAGAAAACCCCCTGTGGATTGTAAAGCTTCTTCAGTCTTGGGGGGTCACTATCACTGTTACTATACTATATAAATATATTGTGTATATAAATATATACTCAAGAGTCTACATTACACATCCAACGCATTCAAACTGCAGCGCTTCACGTCTTTTGCCTTCGGAACTGCCTTCGGAGAGAACCCATCTTGAGGGCCCAACGGAATAAAGCAGAATGACTAGGGATCTGGTGGAAGAACAGTTTCATGGTGAATGCGAGTTCTTGCATCTGGTTAACATTCCATAGAAGATACAGCTTACAAGACTTCGAAAAGTATCAGACTTGATGCCCGGGCTTGGTGACGAAAAGCTAGCATGGCAACGGAAGAAAGGAGGAAAAGAAGGAAAAGAAGGAAAAGATGCGGGAGAGCTCGGAGAGAGGAGCACGAGGCTCTCAAAATGCGTATACTGTTCTTCTGGGGAAGGCCACGTTGTTCAGGCAAGGATTGACATGGCAGCTGCCATGAGAGATGAGAGTCACAGATGAAAGAATCCACCTGTGGCAAAAGTGAAAGGAGGCAAAGTGACCAGTGAACAAATGCTCGAAAAGTGGACAAACTGGCAGAGATCAAGGGCCTTCGAGCATTTTAGATCGATATCATTCATAATCCCATCACCATGACTTGCTGCCAGTCAAAGAGCAAAGCCAATGCAACCAACAAATGTAAGTTTTGACAGCATCCATTCGAGCAACGCATGCATGTATATACGCACTAACACCATCTAAACGAATGTGAGAGAAGCATATGATTAGCTAGCAAGGGAATCGAATCAAAGGCAGCAGACCAGCAGCGCTGCAGGGCAGGGTGGAATCGAAGGAAGGGGGAGGGGGGAGGGTGGAGGGAGGCCTAGCAGTGGATCCTTCACAGGAACGGTAGCCGATTCCAGCCAGCCCAAAATCTTACCTAAGCAAGGGGAATTCCAGCTAGCTGGTGCTAGCTTGCGTGATTTGTTATTGTCGAATTTGTGTAAAGATCTTACAGTATACTTGAAAGGTTGATCGAACTTTAGCATCTTTAGCAGTATGTTTGTTCTTCCTCCAGTGCTGGACTCATGGCCCACACCGCCGCTTCACGGCCGAGAGGTCGCCGGGTCCGTGAGCGACGCGACTCCCGTGTCCGGCAGCTCTGCCCGTCTCGGAGCTGCCTTTCTTCCTCGTGTGTACCGCTCAGCAGCCCAAGCAGGCAAGAACAGGTACTATCCTGAGCCACATACAGTAATCTTCCCCTGCTGCACCAGGTCGGATCCGGTCGATCTCGGATCCCGTCTCGAAGTTGAGTCACTCGGCTCGACCAAAGCAGCTCTGGTCCCCTCCAAAAGGCCAACCTCAGGGATGCCGCACCAGACACCACATGGGCGAGTAAACCAGCACCCCACACATGCAGAAGCACCCGGTCACCGCAAAGCCCAGACGGTAGCCGTAGGCATCCGAGATGTAGCCACCCAGCACTGCGCTCCCGGCGAAGGTCGCGCGGTTCAGGGAGCCCAGAGAGGCCCACTTGCCCCGGTGCTGGGGTAAAGCATACCTCAGCTTGGATTTGCTGATTCGGAACCTGGAAACCATGTGCTTTTTCCATTTCATTGTGGCTTTCCGAGTCTCCTGGAAACAACTATTCCCCACAAAAAAAAAAAGCTTTGAACCATGGGGAACAAAAACAAATCACCTGATCAGCAAGACCAGGTTAGCAAAGGGGGATGGCAAACTGAGAAAACCCGATTCCCTAAAAGATTTCTTGTCGAGGTCCTTGGAAAGATATGGGCAATAATAGCTTCTAATATCTTCTAATTAATCAGCAGTTTCAAGATGCTCCATGGTCAAAGCTGTGTTGAGCGCGAAGTGTGCATTATTGATGAGTGGTCGAAACTCAAAAATGGCCAGGCTCCATGGAAGAGGTTTTGTAACAACAAAGAGGAAGAGTAGCGCTGCACCCAGAAACGCGGTCCCGAGCACCAAGACAACACGTCGGGCAATTCGCGAAATGAAAGCAGCCATATAACTGCCTAAAGCTGTCATGAGCCAGTAACCGGCCATGATCAAGCACACGGCCATTTCAGAGAGTCTGTACTCCTGGTGGTAAAAAATTGGAAAGAATTTAAGTGTGATTCCTCCGCCGAGCATGATAAACAGGTTGAAGACCATCGCTATGCCGGGCACCAAGATGTGCTTGGGAATCTTCAAGATCTTTTCATGAGAATGCTCTGAATGATCAGCGCCAGAAGCTGCCAAAAGTCTTGGAGATGCTTCTGGAACCCTCAAAGGCCACAAAATCAAGAGAAAGGCTGCCAAGCCCACATAGCCCGCCAGCAAGAGCTTGCTGAGCTCTTGCTTGGAAGGAACGATGAACATCACCACCGCCTTTTTTTGCGGACAAAACAGGCAGATGGGATCTTGGACCATCGATGGGAACTCGGACAATGGCATCGCCGGGAGACCCTATAATGCCCTATACCCCCCAAACTCAGAAGGGAACTCACTGGAGGAGAATCATCCACCTTGAACCTGCCCAGTTTGTGTGGTTCCTGAGGAGGGGTCAAGGAAGGAAGGGTTTCAAACTGGCGACCTCCAAGAGGTCCAAAACGATTCCTGGGGTCCCCTTACCCCCAGTAGCATGGTTCAATGCGCGAACATGGGGCCAGCATGGTGAATAGGTGGAACAGGGTGGACAAATGCTTCGGAGGATTACAGAGATGATCATGATTGCTTCTCAGTGGAACAAGAACAAACGGAACATGGCCCACTTCGCACAATGGTGGCGGCAGGACATAAGGTATCAAATGTTTGTTCCAAGGAAAAGGTCATAGAGGATTAGATCGATACATTCCATTTCGTGCTCGTTCCACCGCCCAAAAACAAGCCGCCATTCCGGTGGATTGAACTCAACTTCAAGATCATCTCTAATTAGTAATTAGTACATCATTGGCAAAAGCAACCCCGCAAATGCAAGGTAAAAGAAATGCCACAGAGAACTCAGAACCATGCCCAACTTCAACCACACCCAACATATCTGACTAAACCCATTAACATTTACTCAACTCCGTAAATGATGCGCAAAAAAAGCCTCATCCTGCCTGAAGGAAGGGCCCCAAGGCCCGAGAAGCTGTCTGCAAGGTCCTTGCCGTGGCATAGGCCGCTGTCCGTTGCTGGGGCGGCAGGGCATCAGCCAGCAGTGCGTCCAAGCTGCCAGTCCCGGCCTGGAAATAAACAGCATAGAGCGCAAGGCCCGGCACGGCCAAGGGTAGGCGCTCGGTGAGAATGCCTAGGCGCATTAGGAACCGGAGAGGTTGCGGGAGTACTGGCAAGGGCATGGCGTTTGGAAAGGTCAAATTGGGCAAAGTCAAATTGATGGGAGCTGCGAGGCGTCAAACATGTCGCTTTGAACGGGTGTGGCTGAAAGATGCTTAGCGGGGTAAATATTGGGTGTACCATTAGAGTCCTTAGACTTAGAATATCTTAGAATAACGGAGCCCCTTTGGTAGACCCCCGGTGGACATTGACATAATATATACGAGTATCTCATAATATGTGCGTTCACATTCCCATCTGAGCAGCTGGGCGCACGATCCGACGATCCGACCATTTCTTGAACAAGGCGCTCACTGCTAGGGTGACTGCCCCAGAAAGCCCAAAGCACAGCACGCAAACCCGCAGGACACATAAGCGATCAAAGCGGTCAAAGAGGCAACCCAACGGGATGGCCGCCAGGAGACAAGTGATCCCTGTCGCTGGTGGCTTCCGCACGTTGGTTCGGCATGAGGTTCTGGTGAAGAGAAACCATGTGCTAGAACGAGGGGCCCAACCAAAGAGTGAGCTGCTGCGGTAAACCGCGAACTAACTCACAAGGTTTGAAGATCTTGTCAGTAACACATGCGTAAATACCAGATTTAAAAAGACATGATATATAGATATAGATTTGATGATGAGAATTTCTACAAAGGGGCCAAAGTCCCCTAAAGCTGGGCTGCCAACGGTGTGCAGTATTTAAAAAAAGAACAGTGTGTTTCGTCAGTTTCGATCTTACATGAGTGTCACGAAACCAGTCAGGAATCTCATCGGGACATCCATAAACCAACTGCCAGGAGACTCGCTTTTCTGGGACAAACTCTGATTTGGCCTAAATGCATCTTAGAGATTCTTAGAGAATATCCCAAAAGGCCTCCAGTTCGTGGGCTCTTGGGGCCCATCCACCGCTGAGTCTGTGGGCGACAGGCAAACCGCATGCGGCCACTCACGTCTTTTGGTGTCCGGAACGCCCACGCGCCTCGACTGGACTCCATGATGCCCACGAACTCGTTGGGCTCTTGGAAGCCCTGGCGACGCGCCAAGTCACTGAAGTACACGTCGAAGAGCGTACCCGTGGCGATGGCATCGCTAGACCATAAGAGGATGGTGAGCAAATAGATCCATCCTGCGGAACGAAGACTCACGAAGACTCACGAATACTCACTGGTGCATGTGGTGCATATTGTGGATCGAACGTGTGACTTCACTGCCCCCAACATGTAAATGCAATCGCCAGTTCCTCGAGTCTGCGAAGCACAACCCCAAGCTCAATCGTTGAGGTTCATGAGGTTTTGTTGAGGACTTTTGTGCACAAACACAACTGTTTATTGCAAATTAACAAAACATCCATGAACTTCATTGAAGATATTGAAGATTTTTCGGTTCATTGACGATGTTAAGATGTTCAAGGGTGGACATTCGGAAAATCACAAGAAGAGTGCGTGGGGTGTCAGGCATCACAATGGAACATCATCACATACATGTGCAAGCTAAGCTCGTGAGCGGGTTGTGCAATGCCGCCGCTTTGGAGACGCTGAAGGTGCCAACAAGCTGTGCGTTTGAGTGCTTTATGTCATACCTGGATCTTCGTTTGGGGCGTCCAATGGAGGTCCCTTAGTGGTGAAAGGCGTTTTTCGGATCCCAGGCGTTCGTTTTTCTCCAAAAAAGCTCAAGCACAGTGGCTCGATCGATCTACTTGGTCAAATTTGAGCATGCTTGAAACCCCACTGCAATCGCTCGTACCAAAGTACTTGCCCCCTTGATCTGGGCGCCCCAGCGTGGGGCGCTGGAGTGGGGCGCCCCAGCCACTGGTCGTGCGTGCTGACTACATCCATCACGCTACGCCGTGCGGCGCGTCGCTCAGCGGTGCCGTGAGGCACCCCGACGAACAGGAGGGATCTGGAAGAAAACTGCAAGCTGCGGGACTCAACCAGTCTGCGAAACAGAGATAAGAAATGATAAGAAGAGCTTTGCAAGCCAAAGAACGGAAAAGCACAATAGTCACGATTTATAGAAAAGAGGAGAACGTGAGGCACCTTGAAATGACCAAAATGCAAAAGACGTGTGGACAGTGGAACATGAGTCGCTAATTGTTACTCATGTCTTTGGACTTCAAAGGTATAGACACTGTGAATGCACGCTTGGATTGGCATAGAAAAAAGGTCCCTTAGGAAAAAAGACACTAATTCATCACTGAGAAAAAAGACCTCACCCAACAGGTCATCACCATCCGACTTCGACCCCGACCACCGACACCGGCTCCCACGGCCGTGTCATCGCACGGCACTCGTCGTCCCATCGCCGTCCTGCGGTGATGGGGCGTCCGCAGCCCTGTGCTCGGAGCTCGCCGTCTTCGATGCCCACCGGCTGCTCCATCGGTCGAGTGGAGTCCAATCCGTTGCAGGGATCAATTTGGAGTCCGAACGTGAAGGCTGGGGAGTGCGGGGCGGCGACAGGCTGGGTACGATGGGTAGATCAATCTGACAAGATGGATTGAGATGAAAGTAACTATGCAAACGCAAGCATCGAACAGGTCAAGCTATGTCAAGCTCCAATCGTTGAAGGGCCTCAAACCTCAAGGAGGTTGGCCGGCAAAAACTTGTGAGGGTCAATGTAACATGCACGGCCTCCAAGATGAAGTGGCCAACAGTTCGTGCACATGGATTGATTGGGTGGGGTCAACCAAAAGTTGTTCCTTCTTACAATTTGGGAGGATTCTGCCAGGTGTTGTTCTGTTTTGGAGGATAGCTGATCACAACTGTATGCAACTGTAGTAATTAAACGCGTATGACTTGTCTTCCTTTTGGCCAATCTAGACAGGCTTTGCTTGAGCCAAAGCAGCCTCTGCGCAAACCTCCGGCGCTCAATCCGAGTATTTTCCAGTCTCCAGTGCTCTTCTCTCCTCCGAAACAGACTTCGGCGCCCGAAGAATTCTGTGCTCAGAACTCGCAACTCTCCTCTCTCGCGCCGTTTCCGTCTTTCCGCTCTTCACGAGGAACGCAGAAAAACGAAAAAACGCAGTCGCTGGGCATCCCGAACATGAGGCTTTTGCTCAGCTGGGCACCCAAGCCCTGGCGAGGTGTCTCAACTCTCCGCGCGGCGCACGATGCGACGTTGGGCGCACGGCGTGGCGCGTTGCGGCGTTCTGGTTGGAGCGTCACTGGGCCGTGCTTGGCCCACTTGGGTCCCAGAAGCAAAATTTGAGGAATCCACAAAGCAGTTGAGAAGGATTGGGATGGATGATACCAGAGATGAAGCTATCCCAAAATAGAATACTGGAGTATTCTGGAAACTATGCACAATGATTCCAGCTTGATGACACCAAAGAGAGAAGTCACTGACAATTGCTAGGTCTCTTTTTGAGCTGCAGCACTGTATTAGGGGCCGGTCAACCCAAAGCATGCGCCACAAGGCAAGCGGCTCTGTTCAAAGTTGGGCTACTTCAAATCTTCAATCTAGACATCAACATATATCATACATCAAGCATTCACATATCATATACCATAGATTTGTCTTGTTAACATGGTCTTGCTTGACCCCTCCGAACTCTTGGCACCTTCCTCCCCTTGGTGTCAAGAACCCAGATGCATATATTACAGTATATCATCATCGAATCAACGGTGTTCAGACTTGGGGTAGCCGACCCGGCCTATTATTCCCCCACGCCACCAGTGGGGAAGACTGTGCCAAAAGCTTTGAGGAGATACATAGTAAGTAGGCATTGAACACTAGCTGGACCCAACTGCTCTGTCGCCGACCAATCTTGGAATTCCGGCGGCGATGCTGGCGAAGACCGTCCGAAGACAGAACCCGAGTATGTCTCGAAAAAGGTTCTATTGGTCAAGGATTGAATAAGGAAGTGCGGCAACCCATGGTTGCTGAAAGTCTGCTTGGGATGGCAATGGCACATTGATGTGCATCGCGGAAGAAGGGTCTTCCTGTTCTTCCCAAGGACTGGAAAAGGAAGAGATGGGGCAGCAGGGTGGGGCAATCCTTCTGCAAAAGAAACCAACACAAATACCAAAAGTTTCTTCTTCAAACATCCAAAAGAAACCTTTCACTGCGTGCCCAAAAGTGCCCCACCCACGAGGGCAGCCACCCAACGTTTCCACCTGTACAACTGTGGAGTCCCTTACAGATGCTGCTCACATGGAAATCCATTGGGTGCTCCGACGAACTCGGATGCCGCGGCCGCTGTGCTGGATCTGAGACACTGTACAGGCCAGACCGCTTCAGCCATCAAAATCCTTGAAAGTCATCCTGAGTGGCTGAAACCGCCACGAAACCCGCAAGAAACGACCCGGAAACCAAATCTGTGTTATTAAGACGAATTAAAACTGAAAGTGCATCCGAAAACAACACAGTGTGTCCTTTGCTTTTTGGCTTTGATACATGCTAAGACTCCACACCACCTGTCAATCTTCCTTTCGTCACATTTAGCCGGCAATATGCTCCAAAGACTCGAAGGTGCGCAAAGGCTTCATCAAACCGTCATGTTAAAAAGGTGCCACCTCCTTGGAGCTTAAGTCCCTTGCTTTAAACGCTGTCACGGGGTCTGTCCAGGCAGGTTAAGCGGCGCGCTGTTTGTCGCTGGCTGGTTCCACAAGGTTCTTCTTCACCTCCACATCTCTTCGGTAAAGTTCGCCTGCTCTCTCATCTCGGACCACGTCCTCAGCAAGGTCCAGCATCCTACAGATACACGGCCCATTTGTCGGGGTGGGGAGACCTCCGTCTCCTCCTTCCCCGGGGGAGGTGCGGACGACCCATCTACCCAGCCAGGGTAGGTTGAGACGTCATCCCTATTAAATACATACCCAATTAGACTCCACGGTGGAAGGAGCGCACGTTCCAAAGCAGTGTTTCTTGACACCTCGGAAGCACCAAAACAGAAAGAAGGCTTGCTCTCCTTAAAGGTCCAAAGTCTGTCTGACCTTCGTGTGAACAGCCCCGCAGCTGCCGAGCTTTATATCTAGTAATCTAGTAGTCGACTGATATGCCAAAAAAACCTCCTGATCCATGGGCCTTCTCTTCCGGAATTGCCTCGGCAAACTCCACGAAGCCACAAAAAGATACCAGTTGAACATCTGCTTGGGCTGCGGTTGTCCATTTCTGGTTATTTCGACTGGGTTCCCATCTTGGCTAAGTGACATGTTCCACGTCACCAGGCACAACCCTCGCATGTGTTCATAAATTGAATGGATGTCCAACCCTAATTTGTTCAGCATACCCACTTGGTGCTTTATAAAATGGGGGTTGGAAACTGCATGTTATAAAGGAACATGATCACCATGTTAGTGACATGCTCAACGGGTATATACCAACAAAAACCCGCAAAAACACCGAACCCATCGAAAACGGACCCTCCCCATCCGCTTCTCCGAGGAGCAGGTGTAAGGGTGCGAAGCAAGGGCCGATCTGCTCCACCACCTTGACCCAGGTGCGAGGAGAAGCTCGAAGGCTCGAGGTGGGGCGAGAGGCGAGGTGAGCCAAAGAAATCGAGGGTTCGGTGGATTCCGAAGAGTCCAGGAGAAAAGCAGGAACAAGAAGTTCGGTAGCAACTGTACAAGTGAGCAAAAGAAAGATCAACGCTA